TGTGAAATAACCTGCTGCAGTCTTTGGCTGGAATGAAAACCTAAAAGACTCCCCGGACATCTGTGGCTCTTTCCTGCCCCTATTCAGATGAAACTGCTCATATAAACACAGAAGATTTATTTTTTGTAGAAAAAAAGGCAGTTTTGCCCGAGGTTCCCGGGCAATTTACTGGAACTTTTACAGGGAAGTGTTTTTCATCTGGTTGCACAGTCCATAAAAATGACTTATGTGGCAGATTGAGATGGGATGAAAATCATCAACATGGTCCAGTTGGAACTGCACTGAAAAACAACAGTGATCTCTGTTGTTATTTATTGAGTCATAAAATCTAATTATCTAAAATCTTATTACAAATCAACTATAGTGATGCAGTCATTGTTTAAAATGAGGCAAAACTATTTATTAGGACAGATGTTTTGTAGATTAATTAGGCAGTTTATTAAAATACATTCTTTATCACCATTTGTCATAGTTGCATCATGGAATCTGCATAATACTGAAACTTTGAATACAATTATATTGTGAGTATAAAGCCTTAATTACTACTAACTTTTGAAGTTCTTGCAAATGCATCTGAAGACGACCTTTCTAGTTTACCTTCACATTGAAGGGACATTATGGAGTTTTCAGCGGCCACTAGTGGTGCGGTTTTAAGATTGCAACCAGGTGTGTGCTCGTACGCATGCTCACTTGAACTCATGAGCGAGCATAAACCGAAACACAACCGCTTTCAAACAGAGATCCTGCAATAAACGCAGAAACACTGGCATGCTGACAGAGGCTTTTCTCCAGACATGTTCAGGCTCTCTTACTTTAGCGTTAGCAGCTCAGAGGCAGATTCAGCACCGGCGCCGTACCTTTCATTCAGCGCAGAGCCGCATATCGGCACAATACTCACGAAAAAAGGCAGTGCGACAGCGGCTATAGACAGACAGGGAGACAGCTTCACACACCATTCAAAACTGAGGAAAACTTCCACTGCAAAATTAGTAATACTTTTATTACTTGCATTGTCTCGCATTAGGAGGAACCCCGGGCCAACTGCACCAGCATATGGTCTCACAAGGGGTCTGAGGATCTCATCTCGGTACCTAATGGCAGTCAGGCTACCTCTGGCGAGCACATGGAGGGCTGTGCGGCCCCCCAAAGAAATGCCACCCCACACTATTACTGACCCACCGCCAAACCGGTCACGCTGGAGGATGTTGCAGGCAGCAGAACGTTCTCCACGGCGTCTCCAGACTCTGTCACGTCTGTCACATGTGCTCAGTGTGAACCTGCTTTCATCTGTGAAGAGCACAGGGCGCCAGTGGCGAATTTGCCAATCTTGGTGTTCTCTGGCAAATGCCAAACGTCCTGCACGGTGTTGGGCTGTAAGCACAACCCCCACCTGTGGAGGTCGGGCCCTCATACCACCCTCATGGAGTCTGTTTCTGACCGTTTAACCGCTCTGGACACTACGCTGACAGACACAGCAAACCTTCTTGTCACAGCTCGCATTGATGTGCCATCCTGGATGAGCTGCACTACCTGAGCCACTTGTGTGGGTTGTAGACTCCGTCTCATGCTACCACTAGAGTGAAAGCACCGCCAGCATTCAAAAGTGACCAAAAAATCAGCCAGGAAGCATAGGAACTGAGAAGCGGTCTGTGGTCACCACCTGCAGAACCACTCCTTTATTGGGGGTGTCTTGCTAATTGACTATAATTTCCACCTGTTACCATAGTTACATTGTGTTGTTTAAGTGTTCCCTTTATTTTTTTGAGCAGTGTAACTTTACTGTAACGTTAGTGGATCAGTCTTCCTCTGTGCTCTTGTCACCGTTTTGTTGCAGCATTGTATATTATGTGGGTCACAGCCTCATCTCAGGTACAAGTGTAGGTAACGCCTCTAAGGTTACAGCTATGGCCTATGCCGATGACATTACTGTAGTAATAAAAAACCAGAGGGAGATGGACGCTTTAATAAATATTTTAAGTGTGTATGAGCTCGCATCTGGGGCTAAATTAAATCACTCTAAAACTGAAGGAGTTTGGATAGGAAAGGAGAGCGACAGGGGCGACATTAACATTCAAATTAATCAGGAAATTAAAACCTTGGGCCTGACCATATGCAACATAGATTGTGCTGAAGTAAACTGGGAGAAAAAACTGAGTGAAGTTAAAGAAGAAGTTAAAAAATGGGAAAACAAAAAAACTAATTATAGGACCAGAATCAATGTTGTCGAAACTAAGAGGGTTTAGGTGCCGTGGATCTGGGTATCCGCCTCACGATAGCTTTTGTAAAAAATGTTTCCACAGCCATCTCCAGGAACGCTCTCTGGCTGGGTGATCCCACCAAATGGCATAAGAGACGAGGCAGGGCCAGACAGGGTCCCTACTACAAACTAATTTACGGGGATTTTATTGCACAACACCAGCACTTACAGATAGACTGGGTGGGTTTTAGCAGCAAATCTATTTTCATAAAAATTAACGATTACAAATATGGGGGTTTTATTCATTACACGAATTTGGCGGTTGGCGATGGCACCGAGGTGAGGAAAATTTTAAGGGGAAAGTCACTTTCGGAGAGCCTTTGGGACGCCCGGTGGCTCATGTCAGTCTGACTCCCAGTCAGAGCGGTGGTGTCCTGGTGTTGCATCACAGACACAGCAGCACCTCCTGATGGACTGCTATAGGTCTCAGGAGGTCTGGAACATTTTAGATGGTCTTGGCCTCTCTTTCATACGTAATTATAGATCTGTTACATACGGACTTCTTGAAGAAATCATGCCCACAAAGAAAAAATAACTATTTCAACTGGTCATCAGCATCGTTTGCCAAAAACTTTGGAAAACTAGATGCGCCATGGGTATTGACCAGACTGTCATAGACAGCGACATGGTCGTGAGGCAGATTCTGACCGAACTCCGCAGGAGAACTTTGGACAAGACGCAGTCTCTACCCTGGAGCTCACTGGATTTATGAGGGAAAGAGCCCCCCCGAGCAGCGACACTGAGCACTTTAGCTCCTGGCACTCTCTACTGTTGGGTAAGCACTTTATTAATGTATAGGCTTCTTTTAATTATTCTTAATAATTGTGTGTGACGTGTAGGCTATTCAGGTGTGTATTTTTGGAAATGCTCTGTACTCTGTCATGTTTGAAAATCAATAAAGAACCTGTAGCATTAGCTGGCTGCTCCTGCCCTGCATCAAGAAAAAAATCGTTCCACATTTGTTTTGTGCCGTTACATCCTTTCTTACAGAATAAATCACCAATGACCTTTTAATGTCTGTTGATGAAGGTATGTGCTCAGTCCTTGTAGCCCTGGACCTTAGCGCTGCTTTTGACACCATTGATCACAACATCATGTTAGACAGACTGAGGCACTGGGTGGGGATCTCTGGTACTGCCCTAGAATGGTTTTCATCCTACCTGTCAAATAGGAAGTTTTGCGTGTCTGTAAACAACTATGCCTCTTCATTCTGTCCAGTTAAATATGGTGGGCCTCAGGGGTCGGTCTTAGGACCCATTTTGTTTTCCTTGTATCTGCTTCCCCTTGGACATATTATCCATAAACATGGCATTTCTTTTCATATTTATGCTGATGACACACAAATGTACTTGCCCGTCAGATCCACAGACCCTGGAATGCTGAGTTCACTTAATAACTGCCTTTGAGTAGTTAAAAAATGGATGTCAAATAATTTCCTCCAGCTGAACAAAACAGAAATCCTGGTCATGGGGTCATTTGTTTTGCCATCTGCTGGTTCCCTAGTAAATCACATTAACCTTGGTGTCTGGTTTGATAGTAATTTAAATTTCGAGCAGCACACCACAAAGCTTGTTCAATCATGTTTTTATCAACTTAGAAATATAGCAAAAATTCGATCTATGTTAACTTTTAAGGACAGCGAGACCATTTTACACGCCTTCATTTCATCACGCCTGGATTATTGCAACAGCCTTTTCACCTGTTTAACCCAAAAATCTATTGATCGACTCCAGACTGTCCAGAACTCAGCTGCAAGGCTTTTAATCAGAACAAAGAAATATGACCACATTACTCCTATTTTAGCTTCATTACACTGGCTCCCAGTATGTTTTAGAATTGACTTTAAAATTCTATTGATCACTTTTAAAGCTCTTCATGGCCTCTCGCCTTGTTATATTTCTGACCTTTTAGTCCCATACGCACCAGCACGTACCTTGAGATCCGTTGTTTGTTCCAGAGTCTCGACTGAAAACTAAAGGGGACAGAGCGTTTGCTGTCAGGGCCCCGAGGCTCTGGAACAGCCTGCCCGTTGAGATCAGGTCGGCTGAGTCAGTGAACTCTTTTAAGTCCCTTCTTAAAACATACTTTTATAGGAGAGCCTAGTTATTTGACTTTATTTTATCCCTTTTATTTTATTCTATTTTACTAGTTTTATATTTATCTTAAACATGTATTTTAGTCCTTTCAATGTTTTCATGCTTTTATCTTGTATTGTCTTTACACTTGTTAAAGCACTTTGTAACTTGTTTTTGAAAAGTGCTCTACAAATAAAGATTACTATTATTATTGTTATTATTATTATAATAAATCAACACTTTGACTTAATACCGGTGATACACAGGATAGTAATATGGGTTGCGTTAGATGGTGAAATAATGTGGAAAGCGATACAACTTTGCCGGCTACATCCCGACCAAGAGAGAAAACAGGTGTGTGCTTCATTTCTAAGTGAGGTTAAGTGCCCCTTGACAAAAAGGAAATTAAACTTTGATCTATTAGCGTGATTAAATTGAAAAACTACATATAGCTCCTTTAACAAGCAGTCCCATGTATTAACAACTGAGCTGCAATATATAACTTCAGTTATGACTCTGGAGACACATGCACTTGGAAGAACTCTTACAAAGTACAGTACACGTATTTGAAGTGATAAAAGTTCCTGGTTCCTGATAGATTTTAGTTTAAATCTGCCCACAACTAATAGTTAAACAAACACACACACACAAAAACACACAGTGCTCACTTTGGATGGCGGATGTCAGGGAGGGAGCGGTTCAGAGAGATCCGGTCACTGACGTAAATGTTGAAGCCATTCTCCCTGTAGGCCTGGTCGACCCGGTCAGCGTCTGTCAGGGGGAACGGCTTCCCCTGTTCACCGTTACCTGCATCACACACACACACACACATATATATTTCAAGACATGTGCAACACCTCAAGTGTATCAGTTCCACCACACTGGATCTCCTCTGCAAACACACACATTGTACAGCAGTTATCTAAAGTCTACACACCCTTCAGAACGTTACCTAACTTTAATTGCTTGGAGGCAAAAAGAAGAAAAAACTTTCCCACTTTCATTTGGATAAGATAATGGGCGAAATCAACCTTTAAACAAGAATCCAAACTGAACAAGAATCCCATAATGTGAAGTAAACAGGCTACCAATGCTCTTAACCCACTGTAGCTTTGTCATGGCTCTGTGCATAAGGGGAAGACATGTTTCAAGACTTTTTAAAAACCTTTTAATGCCAAAATGAATGAAAAAGAGGGCCAATTTCACCTCTGGAAAAAAAAAAAAAGGCAACATGTCAGATTAAAGTTAACATGAATTCCTCACCAGAAGAACAGTGCACCAAAAACCTTCAAAAGCAGTATATGTAACAAAAAACAGAATTTAAGACAATTTAAGTTCTTAAATTTAGATAACACATCTGAAATATTAAGATGGAACTTTTGTAGCTAACAGTGACACAGCCAGATGGCCATACTTACTACCACCTGATTAAAGTTACCTGGATTTTTAAATTCTGATGAATTTAACAACCAAAGCAAAAAAAAAAAAAAAAAACTAAAATAGGATAGTATAAGAAGAAAATAATGGATAAAGAACGCAACACAGTGCCCAGTGTCGGATTTAAGCTGAAGTTGGAATGACTAAATATATTTATTTAAATCCCCTGTATCAAAGATTAGAAATTCCGAGCAAGAAAGTTGCTGATGAAACATGATTAAAAATATGAATTTGAATGGCTGAAATGCTTAAGACAATTTCATATATTTTACAGCTGTTCCAGAGAACAAAAAACACTCTCATCATTCACAGGCATACATGTTTTATTAAGCAGAAATGATCTACTTTCCCTTTCGAAAGGTAACAATTTCAGGGATAAACACATTAATTTACCTGAACAGAAAATCAAACTGAGCTGGTGATTACGGCAGCAAATATAAACTGTATTTATTTATTTATTTTATTAAAAACTGTATTTATGACAGCAGATATGCATTTAAAGCACACATTTACACTGCTGCTGCAAAGCTAGAGAGCAACAAGAGAAGGAACAGGGAGCATTTACTCCGATGTATGTCTGAATCCAATCTAGTGTTCAGAATGTGGGGTTTTTACATTCCTGAACATTGTGTACATGATGAACATGTCATGCAGCGCTCATCTATATTTAACAGAATATCTAAGAGGATGGGACAGAGGAGGTTTGGACCTACCAGATCGAGAGGAATCTCTTTTGATTGTTTCATAGTCGTGCCAGTCTTTCCTCCGAACACCGTCGCGTCCCACCTGAGCGTCCTTCCCCACCCGGTTCACACCCTGTAGACACATACAAGCACATAGGAAGATGGTCGTGAATGCTGTCACACACACAGACACACTCCTGCACTGCCCATCACTGTCTAAATGCAGCATAGTTTTTTTTTTTATTCATTTCCATGGAGAAGTTGGGTTTCAGATCATTTGAGTGCACAATGAAAGTGAACTTGCAGAAACTTGTTGGAGATCCAGCAGACAACGCCTCACATTCACCAATTCATTGCATTTATCTTTACATTTTTGTAGTCCAAGCTGATCGTTCCGGCTCTCCTCACATCTTTCGTAAGTATAACACTGGAAGGAGAGATCATTTTGAAAAGAATCTCTGCTGGTATATTCACAGATATTTTTATAATTTGTGGAATTTCTGTATTTGCAGATCTGTTTTATATTTTCAAAATATTTTTGTGCGTTTACAAATCTTCATTTTGTGTTCGTGCAAAGTGTTTTATATTTACAGATTACACGTTTACACACAGATCGCTCATCTGTTCACACAAATATTACTGAAACATAAATACCCCCATACAAAACAATGGGACGGCATGGACATTACAATAAGGATCATGTAAATGTGACCATATCGCAAAACTCAAATGTCAAAGTGTATAAATGCACCAAAAGGAAGGTCTTTCTTTTAAACAGTCGCCGCCTGCTTTGGCATCATCACATGACCTAACTGAATAACATAACTGATAAAATGTGATCGACTGGTTATCGTGATTTATACATTCAAGTCTCTGCAAGATAATTTTCATGTTTTATAATTTAATCTAAAACACATTTTATCTCTTGATGCCCATCCAAATAATATTTTTGACTGATGATTTATCAATCTCAGAAATCTGTCTGTGCAGTTAAAATTGTGGATTGACAGAAATAGGCAGAATTTTGTATTTGTGCAATTATGTATTATATATTAGACATTTGCTTAGCTAGATATTAGCTTGTGAATGCAACACTGTTTTGCTGGTGAATCTGCCAGATGTGTTTGACTTCCCCACCAGCCCAAAACCTCCCACCACGAAACTGAAAGGTTTGGCCACCTCAAACAACAATCGGTTTGCACCTGTAAGAACTGTTATACAACCGTGCCGCACACACAATGCATTTTTTCCCCCAGTACTCTGTCAGTATCACTGTCAGAGAAGAGATTTCTCCAGAGCATCAGACTATCACTATCCAACAGCGTTCTGCTGAGAGTTTATCCATAGAAAGTGTGCTCTTCTATTTCATGCCTGACGACCCTGTGAGGAGAATATCAATGCTATGACGCACAACTCCACGGAGGCCTTAAATACACAACCACACACATACAGACAGATACACTGCAGCTCAGCATACAAAGGCAGAGGCTGTTTCTTCTTCCACTTAGTCATTCTACACACTGAATGACTTTCAGTGACTCTGCATCGTGAATTATAGGATCACAGTACAATGGAGAAATAATTAGGCTGATGGGAGGAGGCAATTAGTGAAACACTTTAAATACAAATGGCATCACTGACTGTATGAAATATCGTGAATTATTAATCAGACTGCTGGCTTAGAGGGATATGACACTGAATAACAAACTAACGTACAGTTCAGACACAGAGATTGGTGTGAGGAGTCTAGGTCTTTGTGCTCTTGTACTTTAATCTTTTTGAGGACTTTTTGAAGTTTTAGACCCTGACAGGGTTCAGACTTGGTTTTAGAGTTAGGTTTAGGTAAAGGTCGGGTCAACATATGCGGTAGGTAGCATCATTTGATCAAGGGTTTATGTTGACTAAAAACAGACAAGAGAGAGGTGAATGGTGACGCTGGCTAAATCTAATTACAGAGGGAGTTACAGCTCTGTGTTAAGAGTGTAAGGGTTAGCTTTGAAGCCAATGCACATAGCACGGGCGTAGATACATCATGTCTCCCTAATGCACACATTATATCGCATTTTCTGCCACAGCAACATATCCACTTGTGTTCGTCCCTTAAGAAAAAATAAATAAATCCGAAACCATCATGATGGCGCCCTCTACTTTTGCAATATTCATCAGAATACTGTTGGGTATAAGTATTTCCGTACACCCAATCAAATCTTGCATAAAGCAGTAACATCAGCATTCTAGAAAAGGCAGAGCAGGTCGTCACACAGAGCCACAGACTCTGAACAACCACCACTTTAGCTTTCCTGCTAAACTCTCCTTGTCTAACTTTAACTAAACATGAACACACATCTTGTCCTGCACCTTAGATTGTTGAACTAGCAACCAAACAAACATTCACTGGAGCGCACTGCTAACGTCAGTATGCAGGATAGCTGCAGCACATTAAAGAGAATGCAAACAGTGCTGCATGTTACTTTGGTGCAGTTAGGTCCTGGTGTGGTTCTTACTCTTCAATATCACTAACACGCTGTCTGCCCATGACATGTGGCTACAGCACAAGTTTGTTTACTTTGTCGCTCCTTCCCTATGACGCTCTGGCAACCTGCCAGCTGTTGTCAATTAAATACAGACAGGGACACGCCTGGCTGAGATGAAAATGAGCATTTCAGAAATCTATCCAAAAACATTTTGCTTCCTTTAAATATAAAAAGACCATTAACTATACATTTAAAAACACATTGACATTATAACTGACAAAAAAAATGGGATTCAGTTGAACTTTAATATATAATAAAATGCATAAAAAAGGGCACATCTCACCACCACGTGTTCATATTTAGCAGTTTGCATAGACAGACTACATTGGCTTATGTTTCGTTTAACAACTAACTGAATTTGATCACAATTAAAATCCACACTGCATAAAGTACAATAACTATAATATATAGTACTATATAATTATGTTATTTTCCATCATCCTTAGTTTAGGGACAAATTCTGTGATTACTTTAAATTCTCATTCTCCTCAAGCTTTTATACACACCTCTGCATCATTCCTCTACGCAGTCTCCGACCGTCTAGGTCAACCTGACACACATTTCAGGCATTTTATGTGATGAATGTATAACCTATTATACCATCCCCCGGCTGGCCTCTGCTCACAGAGATGCTGTATATGAGCCTCATATAAAATTCTTTTCAGCCCTCCCTACTTCTTCTTCCTCTCTTCCTTTCTCCCTCCTCCTCACCTCTCCCTTTCACCCCTTCTACCACTCTTCCTCTCCTCTTTCTGTCGCAGGCAGGCGCTCTCAGTGTGTCACACAAGGACCTGACAAGCAGCAAGAGTCCATCTGTGCAAATTTAGACTAAAAAGAAGCGAGATTGTGCCGCCCCATTTCCTCCTGATTAAAATTTCAGCGCACGTCGCTATGATATTCCTCTGGGGCTTTTCTTGCTGCTCAACAAGACCTTGAAAAACAAGACAAGGAGAGAGGAAAACTTTTCAGCTAATGTGTTCACATGCTTAGATTTGTGGAAGCAGAACGTGGGCGGGTGCTGAAACTAAGGAAAGTAATTGAGACAGACAGTAAAGGAGGATGAATATAAAAAAGACTGAATAATCTTGAGGAACAGATGGGGGATGCGATCACGTGTGTGTAAATCAAAGTGGGGTAAAACAAGTAAAATTACTCTGTAATACTCTCCCTCAATAGCCACTTGACTTGCACAAACTGTGGATGTTCTCTGGCGGAAAGACCAGACTCACCTAACCAGCGAGTGCTGCTGTACAGTTATTCATTTAGGTGAGGGACATTGTCATGCACAGAGTCATTCCCCTAGCATGGCTAAAAATTACAGAACATTCTTGAGTAATAGAGACTGAACAAAATTATAAATACAACACTTTTGTTTTTGTCCCCATTCATCATGAGCTGAACTCAAAGATCTAAGAGTTTCTCTATGTACACAAAAGGCCTGTTTCTCTCAAATATTGTTCACAAATCTGCCAAAATCTGTGTTAGTGAGCGCTTCTCCTTTGCCGCAATAAAAGACCACCATTTGCTCACGCAGTGCAACACATCTCCTTCACAGAGTTGATCAGGTTGTTGATTGTGGCCTCTGTAATGTTGGTCCACTCCTCTTCAATGGTTGTGCGAAGTTGCTGGATATTAGCGGGACCTGGAACACGTTGTCATATGCGCTGACCCAGAGCATCCCAAACATGATGAATGGGTGACATGTCCGGTGAGTATGCTGGCCATGCAAGAACTGGGATGTTTTCAGCTTCCAGGAATTGTGTACAGATCCTTGCAACATGGGGCCGTGCATTACCATGCTGCAGCATGAGGTGACGGTCGTGGATGAATGGCACAACAATGGGCCTCAAGATCTCATCACGGTATATCTGTGCATTCAAAATGCCATCATTAAAGTACACCTGTGTTCATGGTCCATAAAACACGTCTGCCCATACCATAACCACAGCGCCACCATGGGCCACTCGATCCACAACGTTGACATCAGCAAACCGCTCACCCACACGATGCCATACTCGCTGTCTGCCATCTGCCCTGTACAGTGAAAACCGGGATTGAGCTGTGAAGAGAACACCTCTCCCAAGTGCGAGACGCCATCAAATGTGCGCATTTGCCCACTCAAGTTGCTTAAGATGACAAACTGCAGTCAGGTTGACACCCCGGTGAGGTCAACGAGCATGCAGATGAGCTTTCCTGAGACGTTTCCTGACAGTTTGTGCAGAAATTCTTTGGTCTCAGACAATCTTGGAGGTAAAGATGCTGGATGTGGAGGTCCCGGGCCGGTGTGGTTACACGTGGTCTGCGGTTGTGAGGCCGGTTGGATGTACTGCCAAAGGATGTTCGTGGTCATTAACACCTGCTTTCACGGGGTGGTATAATGTGAACATTTTGAGTTTTCTTTTGCTGTGGGGGGCGGGGGTTTTACAATCACGATGCCGGCTCAACGTTGTGATGTCTGTGATGTCATCGTCTATCGGCCCAATCCTAGTGTCAGATCTTTCAGTTCAGCTCATGACGAATGGGGGCAAAAACAAAAGTGTTGCATTTATAATTTTGTTTAGTGTAATATGTCAGAAAAAAAGCATATCCATGATATCTA